GCTTAGCGAGTGGGTTTAGCATTCCTGAACTTGAGACCCAAGTTCAAAGAAATACCAATTCCATTTGCTACACAAATGGGATACTTGGAATCCCATTCTAACTCTCTTCTTGCTTCAGAATTTTATATGAAATAAGGCAGAACATATAGATTACAGATTTGCAAAGATATTTTGTATGCCTTAAATTTTCTACTTTTCCTGATAATATGAGTACCAGATGATTAGAGTGTTGGAAAGAATGATAGAGAAAATTACTACTGCTCATGTTGCCGAAATAAAAAGGTGAACTTTGGAGATGAAAGGACAAAATAATCAACGACTTTGAAGGCAAAGAACGGGAGAGAAGAACATGTTACATTTTTTGAAATGATGACAAACAAGTTACAGAGTTTATAGGGTGAGAAGAAGAGAATTATAAAGCGATAAGTAGATATTTATACTTGGTGTAGTGGAGAAGTTGTTTGAAAACATGGATCGAAAGAACACCAAAATAAAGACCGGCTTGATCATGTTTCAGCATCAGAAAGTTTATACTTTTTCCAACCAATCCAAGGAGTGGTCCAATGTGACAAATTATACAAAAATAATATATTTTCCTTCTCGGGTTTCTCCACGATGCATATCATTTCTTTATCTAAGATAGTTATATTTGTATTAGATTCTTCAGGAGAATTTCTTGATGATATATAGTTTCATCACTTTTTTTTCTCTTTTTTCCCCTCATTATTTTCATTCATGTCCTATTGCATAGTTTCAAGGTAGAAATCGACAAGACTAAATTTGTAACATTTTTTAATTTTTTCATGTGGTTGTCTCGCCTTCTGAATTTGTTTCTTTTTTTGGATTTTTTTTTTCATATTTGGAAGAAGTTTAATTTAAAGTAACAAGGAATGCATGATATTGATGTATGAATTAATTTTATATGTGTTGTCATATGCCGCGCAAAGCGCGGACAAATTAACTAGTGTCAGAAAATTACCAACAAATGTATCACTTCATGAGCTAGCCTGTTTCAATACGTATCATTGGACAACTCTTTTTGGCTTCTTTTAACTTTTCGTTGATAAAGATAACATTATAACTAAGATCATCATAAGTAACAGATGGCACATCCACATCTAATTCAGATTAGTCTGCATACAACAGACATTTAAGGGAAGGAGAAGCTTGTTCGACATTTTGTTGTGGGGAACTTGACTTCAAGCTATCAACAATGAGATATGCAATTTCAAGCTACCAACTATATGCACATGGTAATAACATCAGTACATCACAATGAACAGTAAAACAGGGAAAAACCATGCTTCCTCATTGCGCTCCATGCGGTGAATTAGTTGCTCCTCACTAAAGGTGTACAAAGGAAACCGACAAACCGCATCAACCCGATAATTCGAGTTAAATCGAGAAAAAAAACCCGACTATGATTTGATTTGATTTGGTTTGGTGTTGAAAAAAGAAACCCGATCATAATTGGTTTGTTTTGGTTTTAACTAAAGAAAGTCAAACCGAAACCAAACCGACCCGACATTACATATATAGAAATTTTAGATATATTTAGTATATAAATATACTTATTGTGATGTAATTTATAAATATTTCTTAAAGTTTTTCATAATTTTATCTTTTAAGGTATTATTTCAATATTGGACTTAGAACTTTTGAATGTTCCAATAAGTTTTATAGTCATTAATATTAGTAAATTAAATAAGGAATTTTTACATTCCTATGCCACATAGGAAACCTTATTACCCTCAATGTTTAAGGTTTGACTTAATTACACTTAGTATACCAAATTACCAATTCTATACTATAGTGTATTTTAAGGGTACAATTAATGCAGCGTATATCCCTCCTTAATTCAAGGTACTGTATATCCCACCCCTCCCACGTTTCTCTCTCCCAAACCCTCACCCTCACCTTCACCCACGTTTATGTACTGTTATTAAACATAAAAACCTATGATTATGGAAACATAGATTTGCAACGTATTGATGTAGAAACACTTAAATCTTACATTGCAATTAGGAGCAGCAATCATTCAAGTTCCTGGTTACACTCATTGTTAAATGATAAATGGTCGGTTCTGAAAATATTGAAGAAAAGATTTTTAGTAAAATCATTACATCACGCTAAAGATTTTTAGCAATAGTTTTGTCAAGTTAACAGCTGCGAATAAAAAGAAAAACCAACTTTTAACTCCAGTCTAGGTAACAATGAAGAATAATAATATTACGAAGTACCATTTACCAATTCTCGACGTAATAATTTAGAAAAAAAAAAGTGATTTTCGACTTATTAATCGAATTCTCTCAACGAAACCAAATTTCAAATGGTAAAAATAGTGAATTAGTTTCATTTCCAACACGACACATGCCATCAATTTCATAGTCCCAATTCTCAAACAATATCAAATGCTATAATCTATTGCAATATTTCTTATTTTTATCACAATAATTGCATTTTTTCAGAAGATTTTGTAGAAGTTTTAGTCGTTTTGGATTTGTGAAATTAGTCGTTTTGGATTTGTGAAAACAGAAAACAATGCATCTACAATCAGAATACAAATAATCTACAATTCATCTACAAAATATCTACAATTAGGTATATTGAATTTTAATATCCCAATTCTCATTCGATTGTAGTTTAATTGGGATTTTCGACATAATTGCATTTTTTGCAGAAGATTTGTAGAAGTTTTAGTCGTTTTTTATTTGTGAAAACAAAAAACAAAGCATCTACAATTAGAATACAAATAATCTACAATTTATCTACAAAATATCTACAAACTGGGTACATTGAACTTTTATATCCCAATTACATTCAATTGTAGCATAATTGTGATTTTTGACATAATTGCGTTTTTTCAAAAGATTTGTAGAAGTTTTAGCCATTTTTTATTTGTGAAAACAGAAAATAAAGCATCTACAATCAGAATACAAATAATCTACAATTTCTGCAATATGTCTTCTTCTTCTTCGAGTTTCAATTTGAAATTCAATCAAAACCAAGTCTAATCTTCACCAAAACCCCTCAAAATTGAGATATAAACTCCAAACCATATTCCCGATTATTTTCAACAACACCCAATCCAAACAAATAATGATTTTTGAAAATCCAAATTTGAATTCAAAGCTTTTAATCTTTTTAATGACAGTCAATGGTGGAAAATATCTGGAAGAATATTTACTTCCATAATTGTAGCGCGCCTAAATAGGAATATCTGGAAGAATATTTAGTTCCAGATTTGTAGCGCGTCTAATTAGGAAGGAATCAGCTCCTAATAATTGGTATTTAATGAATGGTATATATTTTGTAGAATAACTGTGAACATGACGGGTAAATATGAAACTATGCACATTTTTGGTAATAAGATTTCATATATGGTATAGGAAGGAAAAAGTCTCATTAAATAATGCTAATAAAAGTCCAAACCAAAATCAAATCAATACTAATGCTAACAAAAGATATTCAATTCAATACTACGAACGGAAATGTATTGAATATCTATTTTTTGTTTTGCAATAATTTAGATAAAAATGCATAACCTATTTTTATTTTTTCTTTAGCGTTTAGTCATGTAATTAATACTCTCTTATTAGTCTACTTATTTTAGCATGACTTAGTACTTTTAGATTATGCTTATTTTATTATGGCTTTTTAATTAGCAATATTCATATTACATAATTTTATTATCTTTATTGTAGAATATTTTAGGATAATGTCATGACACATCTCATATTTCGTATTATTTTCTTGGAAAATACTTTATATAGTTGTATCTTACTAGAATTAAAGAAATATTTTGAGCATAATTGATATGTTTTGTTCTACGAAGATTTTATCGGGGAAAAAACCCCGAAAAAAATCCGAATAACCCGAAAACCCGAAAAAATCCGAGAGTGAAAAACCCGAGTTTATTGGTTTGGTTTGATTTTTAGATTTAATAACCCGATACAATTGGTTTGGTTTGATAATTGTAAAATCCGGACCAACCCAACCCGACCTAGGTACACCCCTACTCCTCGCATAGCTTTTCACTTCCTGAAAGTTCAACATACAAAATAGTTAATAAAGAACCTCATTGACATCTCATGTGACAAGTAAGAGCAGTGTACAACTAGAAAGCAACACATGAAGAACTAGCCTCGACATAGTCTACATTTAACAAGTACCAAACATAAGCTCCTGGCCATGCATTTAAACAAAAAAGACAAGCTCCATTTCCCCACATTTGAGATATCTCAGAGGTGCTTCGGCTCACGTTCTAAGCAGTGAAGATGAACAAACACAGGTGGTTAAGTTATCTGAACCTTAACTAAATATACAATTACAGTAATCTCGGCCTCCGTCTTATTTCTCCTCTCTTTCCTCAATTTAGTATCTCGCAAAGGATGGAATTCAACAAGTAGAACCACAACAATAAATAAATCCATAAGTGTCAAATTCTTGAAGTTAATTTCCTACAAGGATTAGCTATTTTTCATTACTTGTATATGCTTCACAACATTGAGTTTGCACAGATTTCACAAAGTTCCAATAAAAAGTTGCTTCATAACAAAATAGAGTTCACCTTGAAATGTATTAAACAAGGCTATTCATTTCTCACTTGATGAAACATAACCATAGCACCTAAGAAACATTTGCCACTCTATTTAGAAACAAGATAAAAGACTTCTTTATAGCAGGGAAATTTCTTGTTTAAAAAACCAAAGATGAAAAGAATTTGCACTGTAGTAACTTAGAAGACAGGACCATCTTTAACAAAAGCTCTAAATGCCATTTTTTTAGTAGATTCCCCTGTTCGCTGGAACCTCCACTCTACTCTAGTGATCATAACAGCGAAATCCGTCTCCTCAACTGCTTTCTCCTTCCAACTCACTTTTGTTCAAATTGACATTAAACTGAAGAAGATTCCACCATTGATTGACCAAATATGTACTCCTAACAGAATGTGGAGATAGTCCCAAAGAAAATTAACAGTAAGCTATAAGCAGCAGGGAGAAACACAAAAACTGGATGTTTTACTTTTAACTCTTATTACACAGTTCCCATATGTCTCTTTCACCATACTAAGTTTCATCTAAGAAGACTAGTAAAAGTAAGCCGTAGATCAAATAATAACCCTGTCAAGCGTTATGCACATTCCCCTGTCATGATTTCCGTGGCTCTGGTGCTCTTTAAGCTGACTTTTTCTAGGGCAAAAACCCCCTTACGAAACTTCTCAAGAATTAAAAAGTATATGTCCAATGCTATCTACTTAGTGTTAGACACTAAAAACTACAACCAAATAGTTGTTCTTGCGACAAATGTGTTTCTTGGAATTAAGCAAAACTGAAAAACGACAAACAAGATATCCAGGAAGATGTATTGTAAAGATGTCCCATATGCGACATCTTGTTCTATATTTGACAAAGAAACAGGATAAAACAGTATTTATAAAAACTGCATAAAAGAGAGCTCTTGCAATGTGTAAATCACAGGATTGTCATTCATCTGAGCTTCTGCAGCCTTCACTGTTCTTGTGTCATTGGTTCAGTTTGTAGAAGGGGACAAACTAGGCTTTCAATGTAGATTTCCGCCTCAAGACATGCATCAAAGTTAGTCACCTCTGGATATTTGATCGAATCATCATCAGGATTGTATTTCATGAAAATTGATCCAAACACAAGCAAAATTTCACCTTTATTTGACATGCACAGGGGTGGAGAAAACATATACTTCCCAGGATCGTTAGGACATCTGATGGAATACATTTTTGTCCAAGACTCTTTAACGCCATAATCCTTCATAACCCACACCTCTGCCCAAGTTCTCTGATAATTACAAAGCACGCAAAGATCATCTCCCAAAACCCCCAATACAAAATCAATTCTTCCTTCTCCATAGCAGGGCTGCTCCACCTTTCCCCATTTCTCATCAGTCAAATCAATAGAAATGATTTCCCAGCCATTATACACGCCAAGACCAGCAGTAGTAGCCCAATGAAGCTTCCCGTTCACAAACTTACCCGAATCATTCAGTAATACCCCACCCTGATAATCATCAACATTTCTCCAAGAATCACTCTTTAGACCATATATTTTGACCTCAACATCATACGAACCGCCAGAACCAAAAGTACAGAAAATACCCACTACCTTATAATCATCATGAAGCTCATCGTATCCAAAACCATACATGAAATAGTAACCACACTTTAATGTAGGTCTAGAGTCAGGCAATTTCTTGAACTTCCTAATAGATGGATTCCATAAAAACAAGGCATTTTCCTCAATGGCAAGACAAATCATGCCATTGATAGAACCCACAATCCAAACAGATTGATGAGGGTTTTTCATGGGATAATCCAAGTCCAACGCCTCAGTAACAGAACCATAAAGTAAAGAACTAAGGGAACAGTCCTTAAGATTGTATTCAGGTTGAACAAAACTCAAAATAACCCTTTGATGGGTATAGTCCTTGTTATTAGCAGATATACTAAGATGGGTCTTGACAAATCCAGAGCTAGATATTAGAGAAAGCCACGATTTTGAAACACACCTGAATTTCAAGAGGGTTTTCACAGGAAGCCTTAAGAGGATTTCAGTGATGAGTTCAGCTGGGAGAATAGGGATTTTAAAGCTTGAATCTTGCATTGAAGTTGACGGAAATTGAGCAATATGATTTGTGGGTCTGCTCCGCTTTGAGTGTAGATGGGGGGCTTCATCTTCCTCGGATTCCATTTGGGTTTGCACCAATTTGAGTTTCTTGGAAATCTCAGTAGTCTTACACGTTATTTCCCAAATTGCTGTGGAGTGTTTGGTTTATCCTGTAGACTATCCTTTTGGCCCTAATTCTGATTAAAGTGATGAACTTCCCTAAACTTTGAATACAATAATTTGTCTTTTCATTTGTTTTGTAGCGGTTGATGGCGATTGGCTTTGTTTTCGAAAACATAAATTGACGGTGGAAGAAAAACAAAACACAGACACTGTTTCAGTTTCAGTTTTTGGAAAAGCTGAATAACATTGTGTAGTTTTTAGAAAAATTGAAAACAATTCACCAACTTTTTTTCACAGTCAAAAATTTAATTAAAATTTCACAAAAAAAATCAAAATAATAAATACTATAAAACACAAATTTTAATTAAAAGCATATTTAGAATAATGTTTGACATTCTCTCTGCCGAATAATAAATAGATTAGTGTCGCACAAAGTGTGTTTGTGTGAGTAGAGAAATATCTATTGTGCCTTATTGTGTTACATCTTAGAAGTTATACAAAAAACGCACATTAATATTACACAAAATAAAATAGAGTGTGTGTGTGAGTGTATATTCCAAAAAAGTGCGGAATAATTCTGTCTTATTACTCTATCCGGTCTACTTACATTAGGTGACACTCCTTTTATAATTCCTATTATTCCAATTCATGTGATATCTTTTTATTACTCCATTTAATAAAAAAGACACTTATTATAGTTAAAAATAATTAACTTAAATCTCCTATTTTATTGTTGGGTCCAAACGCACGCGCAAGTATATGCGATTGACAAGTAATAAAATGATGAGAAAGTATCGTCTCACAAGTATTTATGATTAACTCTCGTCCAATCTAAACTACTTATGAGTTTAGTGCTCAAGCAGTTATGAAGAAGATGATTGTGATTTATACTACTAAAATTTACTACTAAACAAGCAAACAATTCAAAGGTATAAAGCAAACACTTAGAAAGGATTCAATGAGATGGGGATATTCCGGGGTTATGGGATTAATGTTTTTCCTATTGCATTCTTTCGGTTGATTTAATCACTTGATTTATCTAATTTATTGTTTAACAGGGTTTATTATGCCCGCAAAATTCTTTCGACGTTTTGCTCACCTATTCAAGTTAACCTAATACTATATGTCTATAGAATTAGAATTAATAAGAATGCATGTATATTTCCTGCAAAAGTAACCAAGTAAGGCAACTGGAATATGTTTATCCTAATCGCGAATCTATTCCCCGATGCCCGGATACAAAACTCACTCTACTCAATCTTATGTACAATCTATAGTTGCCACTTTCGAGTTCAATTATAAATTTGTAGATAGTATTCTACTGTTAGCTACACAATAGAATAATTAAGTGTAAGATTAAATAAACAAATTAATATGATAATTCAAGCAAAATAATCAACTGTCAAACAACAATAGTCAAATACAACCCATAACCCCAGAATAATGACGTTCTTAGTCACTCATGTTTGTAACAACAATCAAAGTATTATAAAATGCAGGGTAAATAGTAGATCCTTATGGTCCGGCTCTTCTCCGAACCCCCGCGCATAGCGGGAGATTAGTGTACTGGGCCGCCTGATCACATCCAAATGTACACCTCAATAGAGATATGTAACAGTCGTTTGCAATAATAAAAACTCAACTAAGAGTCGGGTCGAATCCACATGGTGCTAAGATGGGAGTTAGGGGTATATATTTCAATGTGAGAAATTGGACTATGCAGATTGTACTTCCACAATTATGATTTATTTTCTATTTTTAATGTTACTCTAATGATTGCAAAGTAAAGAAAGAAAACTAGAGATAATTATTTTTAAGGTTTTTCCAAATGGATAAAAATCCTAGGGATGTGACCATGACCTAGGTGTTTGCTTAATAGGAATGACTTTAATGTTTGTTTCGTTTATTGGGGTATATTATAGCTATCAACTCTAATTTATTCACTCAATACCTCTCGGTCAGAGAGTGGTTTTGCGCAAATTGGCTTTCTCAAGACCAAATGGGTATAACTCAAAATAGCTGATAAGAGCTCAAGTCGGGTTATTATTATCTCTAGGTTGAGCCCTTTAATTGAGTTAATCAATCTCTTAATTGACTCAATTCCTTGTTAGCTAAGTTATCCTAAATTAGGTCTCTCTTTCTCGCATAGAGACTAAGTTAAATAGGCATGAACTAATATGTGCAACCATTAATTCTACAATTAAAGGATGAACTAAGCTAAATAATAAACACTGAATCATAAACAAACACTAAATTGGATACCCATAAAGTTTACACACTAGGTTTGGGTCACAATCCTAGTAAAAGTTTAGCTACTCATACTGGATTTTGAAGAAAATAAGGAAGAACAACTAATTAAACTCATAATGGAAGCTAAAAATGATTAAATCTATTGTAAATACACCAAAGCAAAGTAAAACTTCATAAAATAGCAAAGAAAAATGGCTACAACAATTTCAGAGGTTCAAACTTGACCTAATTTTGTGAAACTCGTCTATTTATACAAGGCTGAAAATCCGGGATAAAAATATCCCTCGGGAGGTTCTGCGGCCGCACAATTCCTTGTGTGATCCGCAGATTACTTCATCTAGCAAGAACTGGAGTTCTGCGGTCGCACATTTCTGAACTGCAACCGCAAGGCAACTCTTCTGCGATCTGCAATACTAGGATTGTGGCCGGAAGGCAATTTTCTGCGGCCGCACAAATCTTGTGCGGTCCGCAATTCAGTGAGGCTCTAGACTTGGTCTTTTTTTCATACTCTCGCGGCCGTACAATTCATGTGCAGTCCGTAATTTGCGCAAATGTCTGCTACATTTTCCTTCTTTGTTTGCGGCTACAGATGGAATTCTATGGTTTGCAATTTCTTCTGCAACTGCAGAATTCTTTCTGCGGACCGCACATTGTATGCTTCTACACCTTTTATTGCCTTGTGCTTGGACTACTCCTTTTTTAGTCGGATTTCATCTCAGGAGCCTAACTTCAGTATTCCTGCAATTTTGTACAATTTTATTAGTTTCGAGAACACAATTCAATATTTTTATACTAAAACAAAAGCTAAAAAGCGCTAATAAGCAGTCAAAATTTTCACTTATCAACTCCCCCAAACTTAAGTCTTTGCTTGTCCTCAAGCAAATAAATTAGTTCTCACCTCCAAAAGTTAAGGATCATTTCTGCGAGTGGAAGGTGAGCCATTTACACGTTAGTTGGGACCAACAATTACCCACACTACTCATGTATTATCAACAAGGCTATAAGTTAAACATTTATGCACATATAGTTCTAATGTGATATTTGAGCTTTAAGAATTGACTTAACTCATCAAGGACTCTTGCTCTATCATGTAGGTCATGGTGGACTCTAAACTCTTCCTCCTCTACTTTCTATTTGCTTGGCTCACTTAAGAAATTAGCACTCAATCCAAAGATTTATGAAATGTTTACTCATCTCTCTCAATAGAATGTCACAAGTAAGGCTCTAAGTACAATAGGTTTGCCCCTCATGTAGATCGCCACTAATGTAATCTCACTCGGCTTGAATTCAAGTAGAACTTCTATCGGGATGTAATGAAGGCTTTTGGATTAGGGTTGGATACATTATGGGTGAGTGGTTACACCTTTCCTTAAGCACTCTACTCTTCATTTCTCGGCTCACACTTTGCCAATTCCTTGAGGCACTTTCTTTTCCTTGGGGACTAGAGAGACTTAACATCACTCTTTCTTGATCATTACATTTATTTTCCCCCTCTTTGATTTCTCCATGTTTGGGATCATTGCCTCCCTTTGAATCCCTTCAACTCTTCTATTTATTCACTTTTTTTTTTGCGTTTTCCTTTTTGTTCTTTTTCATTTTTCTTTTTTTTTTCTTGCATTTCCTTCTCATCATTTCTTTTCTCTTTTTGTGCCTTGATACCTTTTTCAAGTTCCTCATCTCTCCCCCCCAAACTTATATTTCTAGCCTCTTGTTTCACAAGAGTGTTAAGGAAAGCTCGGGTGCCAAGAGAGGGTCACGACAAAATAGGTAAAGAGTTGTAACATGGTTATCAAATAAGAGAGGCTCGAGGTTCAAAGGGGTTGACTAAGGATAATGACATTGGTTGGCAATAGAGAACTCAAACGGGCCAAGGAGGGCCTACAATCACATTCCAAACCAAGAAAAACTTAGGATTTCGCCTTGAAACATATTCGGGGCAAGTTCTAGACCCTTCGCACGGGTACTTGGGACTAGCAATAATTCATCTCACCCCTCATGCAACCGGATTGTTATAGAGGAAAGAGTCGAGGGCCCACAACGACCTCATTCAAATTTAAAAATCACTATGGTTCAATTAAACCACTTGATGGTTGCCAAAGTCAACACAAGAGTCACAAAGTCACTAACTAGAGCTATTTCTTTCAAAAACCTTATTTTTAACCATAAGCACATAGTTAAATGTGTTGGTACTAAATGAAGCACGTTTGACTCTTCGAGCATGACTCAATTAGGTCTTTTTATTCATTACTACTACTATTATTACCTAAACACCAAAAACAGACTCATTCCCTTAAGAAGGTTGTTACATCATCCATCATTGGTACGAGTCATCCGGTTCACACAATAACTACCTTTGGAAAAGAACCGTGGCATTAAGAAAATCAAAGACCTATTATCTACTAGAACATACAAAGAAGCTACTAAATCAAACAAAGAAACTACTAACTCAAACCAAAAACTTCACAAAAAAATAAAAATAAACAAGCTAATAAACAAAAACTACTGAATATACATAATGAGAGAAAAAGAGAGAATATATATAGAATAAGAAAGAGAAAGAAAATAATATCAGGTTATTATAGTCCAATTTTCTCAGAATGTACCAAATAAGATCAAATAAAATTCATCCCTCTCCCTCCCCTAAATAAAAATAAGCATTGTCCCCAATGCTTAACAAAATAAGAGTAAAAGAGGCGAAAGAGTGAAAAAAATTCCTTATGGCTCTTTGGACAACTCTTATCCAACTGGATCTCATCATCCTCAACTCTGGGAGTGACTGGGTTGGTGAACATCTAACGCACTGCCTCGGCAATGTTAGTAGTAAAGTCTGGCTCCTCAAACTAGCCAGTTGGTGCCACTGGTGCTTATTGTGCTATAGGATCTATGCCTGAAGGATGCGGGTCAATCAACATATCGAAAGGGATTCTCCGGG